CTGGTCACACTCCGCTCATTTTTTCTACCCATCAAGCTCCAAGATCTCAGACATAAAGGGACACTCCAGGTCCTAAAAATGGTTCCACCTTGCAGGGCTACGTAAATTAACTTCTTTGATTTGTTCCTCCAAGTGAATCCTCTGTACCATCCTTTCATATGTCTCAAATTTCTGCACTGTATCTCCACCTGTAAAGGTTAGTTCTTAATTTTTTTGCTTGAAAGTTGTAGATGGGTAAGCCACAGAGCCACATCACGGCACCCTGATAATCTGTGGTCCTAGCTCTACAAATTTCTGAGAATTTCTCAATGGCAATGGTTCCGGATGGTGGTGTAATGTGTGGGGGATAATTTTCTTGCTACTGGCAAGGTGTACCTAATAAAGTGGCGGTGAGTGTATACATGTACATATAGTATTATATTATATATATGTTACTGAATGTGGCAAAAAGTATTTGCCGTTTCCATACACAAATTTAGTGCTGCAAAACTCCCAACTCTTTTTTTAGCACTTTGACAGTAAAAGGTAAATTGCTGTTTTTGAGCCTTTAAATGTGCTTTCTTCAACACAGTATGAGATTTAGATCTGTGAACATAAACATTTAGAAAATTATGCCAGGGGTGTTTTCCTTATAACTTGTGTTTTGAGGAGGGATTGTCAAGATAATTAAAATGACAGAATGGTGAGGATCTTAGTGACTTCCTAGCAGAACAAGGATTTTACTGTTGCATTGTGTTACTGTTGCATAGAATACCACAAAATTTATATTTATTGAAAGTTCACGTTTTATTTTTGTTATGCTTTTGTCTTGTTGGTGACAGGAAAGGAATTACAGGGAACTTCAGAAACTTTACAAACAAAGCAATGAGCATGCGGCACAACAAGCTGATCTTATACAGCAACTTCAGGCACTCAATGTGGACACACAGAAAGTACTAAGAAGCCAAGAGGAAATGCTCACACTACTGAGACTATCTCGTATCAGAAAGTATGTTTTACATTCTTTTAACACAGAAATTATAGGTTACTTTAGTATGGTATGACCTCTGGTCTCTGCATTTTATAAGGAATATTCAGTAAACCCAACTGAATGGTGCCCAGTAAACAACAACCTATCCTCTATGCCAAAATATATATTCCAGAAAAGTTCACAAGAAAGTCCTTTTTGTATAATGTAATATAGTGTTATGTGAAAACTGTCAGGGCACGAGGTTAAGCTCCACATACACCTCAGCTGCTGCTCCTCTCTGAGATCCTGTCGAATTTCCAGCTCACAGGCACGAGGAGCCCTGGAGGACTATATAGCTCTTAACATTGAACCCCTGTTTGCATTAATCAAAATGAAGGTACAAACCTTGAGTAGGCTCCCACTTGGTGTCATGGGGAGAATAAATCTAATTAAGATTATATATATTATTGCCCAAAGTACTCTATATCTTTTGGCACGCCCCCATGTACATACCATTAAAATTCTTTAAGACTATAGACTCCTTTCTGAACACTTTTCTGTGGGGTAATGGTAGGCATAAATTACAATGGCTGGCATTGACAAATCCAGTGACTTTTGGGGCTCTGCTAGACTTCAATACCTATTATCTGGCTGCCCGACTCTCTCATTTCTACCATCTGTGTAAGTCAGATCTTACAAGGTATCAAACCTTGGATTGTAGACGACTTGACCACCCAGCCTGCACACCCCTGCAATCTATCATGCGTGGGGGTGTGGCCCTTGTTCTTTGCGATGTAGAGATGGTTTCCTTCTCTATCACCAATGTGTCTGGGAACTGGCCTTGCATAGGATTGGCGCCCCCACATTCCATCTCCATACCCCTTTGTGGTAGAAAAAAAACGCCTACTGGAAGTACTCTCTGTCCTGAGTCAGTTACTGTGGGCTTCCCACGGTATTTTGTATGTCCACCAGGTCTTGACTGCTACTGGCCCTAAGACCTTCCAGGCCCTGAAGGATACATTTTCTCTTCCTTACTGCTGTTTCATTACCTACAACTCCGCCATGCCTTGCAGAGCCTATCCGATACTCTCAACCGGTGCCACTATTGGATGTCAATTTGGGAACAGATCCCACTAAGTTGACATCATATTTATATAATAGTACATATATTATATAATACCTATGCCCTCTGCCACCAAATTGGCATACCATGTTAAGAATAGGTGGGAAGTAGATCTAGGTGCCATGGAAGACGTATCTTGCACAGAGCCTACCCTTCCCCTCATGTCCGCATAACTAGATACTGCCCCTCTCGTAGTCCATTATGCTTGCTTTGTTCTACTACACCAGGTACATTTTATCATTTGATCTAGGCATGTCCAATTCTACAAACATTTTGGATTTTCAGGTGATATGATTCTAACATGAAGATATGGGCTCCACATTATCCCTGGATAACAATGCCTGTTCAGTCTTATCCCAGATCCTGATATATTCTTTACTATACTTCTACATATTGTCTACAATCTTGTGTCTGACATCCTTGGACAGCACTTTGGTCTTTGCCATGGTGGAGAGTTTGGAATCTGATTGTTTGATTGCTCCTGTGGACAGGTGTCTTTTATACAGGTAGCAAAATTAGATTAGCAGCACTCCCTTTAAGAGACTGCTTCTAATCTCAGCTTGTTTACCATGTATGAAAGACGCCTGGTAGCCAGAAATCCGGCTGAATGATAGGGGATCAAATACTTATTTCCCCTCATGAACATGCAAATCCGTGCATAATTTGTTAGACATGCATTTCTTTTGAATTTTTTGTTGCTACTCTCTCTCTCTGTGTTACAATACACCTACAATTCTATTTATTTATTTATTTCTATTTTTAGACCAATCATTTCTTTGTGAGTGGGCAAACATTCAAAATCAGCAGGGGATCAAATACTTATTTCCTTCACTGTATATATATACAGTGGGGCAAAAAAGTATTTAGTCAGTCACCAATTGTGCAAGTTCTCCCACTTAAAAAGATGAGAGAGGCCTGTAATTGGCATCATAGGTAGACCTCAACTATGAGAGACAAAATGAGAAAAAAAATCCAGACAATCACATTGGCTGATTTGGAAAGAATTTATTTGCAAATTATGGTGGAAAATAAGTATTTAGTCACCTACAAACAAGCAAGATTTCTGGCTCTCACAGACCTGTAACTTCTTCTTTAAGAGGCTCCTCTGTCCTGCGCTCATTACCTGTATCAATGGCACCTGTTTGAACTTGTTATCAGTATAAAAGACACCTGTCCACAACCTCAAACAGTCGCACTCCAAACTCCACTATGGTGAAGATCAAAGAGCTGTCGAAGGACACCAGAAACAAAATTGTAGACCTGCACCAGGCTGGGAAGACTGAATCTGCAATAGGCAAGCAGCTTGGTGTGAACAAATCAACTGTGGGAGCAATAATTAGAAAATGGAAGACATACAAGACCACTGATAATCTCTGTTAGGAATGGACTGGCCAGCAATGGTGGGACTCACCTGCCTTTTGATCTGCAGTACCAGGGCTGGCCAGCGGGTGCTCCCAGCAATCAGAGACTCAACCTTTCAGCCAGCTAACACCTGGAACTGATGATACTGGTGTATTTAAGGGATGGCCAGACTTGCAGACTCTGCCTTGGTGTTGTGTTTGTCCTGGGCCCTGTATCTGTCCTGCATCCTGTTTCTGTTCCTTTGCTGACTTCTCCTGCTCTGATCCTGGCTTGTGACCCGGACCATCCCTCTGCCTGACCCTCTGTACTATGCTGCTTGCTACCTGCTGAACCTGGCCTGTGACCCCGACCATTCTCCGCTTGCTCCCCTTGTACCTACCTGCCCAATTGATATTGACCCGGCCTGCCTGACGACGCTTGCTTGTATGTACTGTTATCTGTGGGTGGTTTGGTTTGGTTTGTTTGCTCTGTATTATGTTTTTAGTATTGCACTGCGTTTATGTTTGTACTGTTAGTGTTAATAAATTATATTGTTTATAACATACCTGAGGTCTGCGTTTCCCTGCTTCAGTCACACACCTCTGGTCATACCTGGGAGCCCTGACATTACACCAAGGCCAATCCTGACCAGAAGTGGCTGCACAGGGAAGCCATCTTGGCTTGTTGATGGGAAGGATGGATCTGGATGAGGTTGTGTATTTATCTCTCTGCTAGTGTTTGATGACAGGGAGTATGCTTATCAAACTCTGAAGGAGTATCCCCGGGATGAATTGCTAGAATGTATACGGCTCGCTCATGTTCTAGTAGATCAGGGCACAGTGTTCTCTGAGGTGCAGCCATTGATTGAGGTTTGTGCAGAGTTGGTTTCATCTGGTTCCCCCGAATGCAGGGATGAATTTTTGCCACCATTTAGTGCAGACCAGGTAGAGTCCCTGGTGTGGTTATTAGAGGATGATGTGGGTTACTTTCTGGAGCGTTATTCTGCATGTTCACCACAGACACTAAGAGATTGTATAAACGCAGTGCAGTCATTGACCAGACAGGCTTTGTGTAAGCTCAGCTTTGTTCAACCCATACTGCAGACATGGACAGATTTGTTGCACCCAGCCTCAGTCAGCTTACAAAGACCCAGTCCTGCTTCTAACTCTACTCCTGTATTCCCACCAGCTCCTCCTGCCCTGCTATCTACCGCATGTCAGTACCCTGTTCCACTCGCTGCACCTATCCTGCCTTTAACCCTGTAAAAGAGCCCTCTGTAGCAACTGCTCCCTCTCCTGTTCCATCCTCCAGCTTTTCTCTGTCTCCAGCTGCTCCATTCGTTTGCAGACCTGCGTTTACTTGCAGTGCTCCAGTAGTTAAAACCAGAAAAAAGCGAAAATTCTTTCCAACCAATACCATCCTGCCAGTATCCAAACCGGTGAACCAGCCTGAAGCCTCTACTCAGCCTGAAGCCTCTACTCAGCCTGAAGCCTCTACTCAGCCTGAAGCCTCTACTCAGCCGGATGCCTGCATTCAGCCTGCCGCTACTCAGCATGATGAACTGATCCAGCCCGACGATCCTATTAGGCCAGTTGACTCGATGCCCGCTGTTGATCCAGATGATCCGGTACCTGATCCAGTGCCCGCTGTCGTGCCAATTGACTCAGAGCCCGCCCGTCATACCTGGTGACCCGGTGCCCACTGCCTTGCCAGATGACGCGGTGCCCGCTGGCAAGTCAAATGACCTGATGCCTGGTGACCCAGTGCCCGCTGTCATACCTGGTGACCCGATGCCCGCTGTCGAGCCAGACGATCCGGTACCTGATGCCCCGGTGCTCACTGTCGTGCCTGTTGACTCGGAGCCCACTGCCTTGCCAGATGACGCGGTGCCCGCTGTCGAGCCAAATGACCTGATGCCTGGTGACCCAGTGCCCGCTGTCAAGTCAGACGATCCAATGTCTGACCCAGTGCCTGCGGTCATACCAGTTGACTCGGAGCCCACTGCCTTGCCAGATGACGCGGTGCCCGCTGTGGAGCCAAATGACCTGATGCCTGGTGACCCGATGCCCGCTGTCCAGCCAGACCATACAATGTCTGACCCAGTGCCTGCGGTCATACCAGTTGACTCGGAGCCCACTGCCTTGCCAGATGACGCGGTGCCCGCTGTCGAGCCAAATGACCTGATGCCTGGTGACCCGATGCCCGCTGTCCAGCCAGACCATACAATGTCTGACCCAGTGCCTGCGGTCATACCAGTTGACTCGGAGCCCACTGCCTTGCCAGATGACGCGGTGCCCGCGGTCGAGCCAAATGACCTGATGCCTGGTGACCCGATGCCCGCTGTCCGGTCAGACGATCCAATGTCTGACCCAGTGCCCGCGGTCATACCAGTTGACTCGGAGCCCACTGCCTTGCCAGATGACGCGGTGCCCGCTGTCGAGCCAAATGACCTGATGCCTGGTGACCCGATGCCCGCTGTCCAGCCAGACCATACAATGTCTGACCCAGTGCCTGCGGTCATACCAGTTGACTCGGAGCCCACTGTCGTGCCTGGTGACTCGGTGCCCGCCGCTCCGCCTGGGGGCCCGAGACCTGTTGCTCCGCTTGGGGGTCCAGCGCCCGCCGCTCCGCCTGGGGATCCGGCGCCCGCCGCCCCGCCTGCGGGCCCGAGACCTGTCGCTCCACCTGGGGGTCCGGCGCCCGCCGCTCCGCCTGAGGGCCCGAGACCTGTCGCTCCATCCTGGGGGTCCGGCGCCCGCCGCCCCGCCTGCCCGAGACCTGGGCCCGAGACCTGTCGCTCCACCTGGGGGTCCGGCGCCCGCCGCTCCGCCTGAGGGCCCGAGACCTGTCGCTCCACCTGGGGGTCCGGCGCCCGCCGCTCCGCCTGAGGGCCCGAGACCTGTCGCTCCTCCTGGGGGTCCGGCGCCCGCCGCCGCTCCGCCTGAGGGCCCGAGACCTGTCGCTCCGCCTGGGGGTCCGGCGCCCGCCGCTCCGCCTGAGGGCCCGAGACCTGTCGCTCCACCTGGGGGTCCGGCGCCCGCCGCTCCGCCTGAGGGCCCGAGACCTGTCGCTCCACCTGGGGGTCCGGCGCCCGCCGCTCCGCCTGAGGGCCCGAGACCTGTCGCTCCATCTGGGGGTCCGGCGCCCGCCGCTCCGCCTGAGGGCCCGAGACCTGTCGCTCCTCCTGGGGGTCCGGCGCCCGCCGCTCCGCCTGAGGGCCCGAGACCTGTCGCTCCGCCTGGGGGTCCCGGCGCCCGCCGCTCCGCCTGAGGGCCGGAGACCTGTCGCTCCACCTGGGGGTCCGGCGCCCGCCGCTCCGCCTGAGGGCCCGAGACCTGTCGCTCCATCTGGAGGTCCGGCGCCCGCCGCTCCGCCTGGGGGCCGATGCCTGTCGCCCCGCCTGGGGGCACGGTGCCTGTCGCCCCGCCTGGGGGCACGGTGCCTGTCGCCCCGCCTGGGGGCCCGGTGCCTGTCGCCCCGCCTGGGGGCCCGGTGCCTGTCGCCCCCCTGGGGGCCCGGTGCCTGTCGCCCCGCCTGGGGGCCCGGTGCCTGCCGCCCCGCCCGGGGGCCCGGTGCCTGCCGCTCCGCCCGGGGGCCCGGTGCCTGTGCCCCCGCCCGGGGGCCGGTGCCTGCTGCTCCGCCCGGGGGCCCGGTGCCTGCTGCTCCGCCCGGGGGCCCGCTGCCTGCTGCTTCGCCTGGTAATCCGATGTGCCTCTGCCCGGAGTCCTGCCCAATGTGCCTCTGCCCGGAGTCCTGCCCGATGTGCCTCTGCCCTCTGCCCGGAGTCCTGCCCGATGTGCCTCTGCCCGGAGTCCTGCCCGATGTGCCTCTGCCCGGAGTCCTGCCCGATGTGCCTCTGCCCGAGTCCTGCCCGATGTGCCTCTGCCCGGAGTCCTGCCCGATGTGCCTCTGCCCGGAGTCCTGCCCGATGTGCCTCTGCCCGGAGTCCTGCCCGATGTGCCTCTGCCCGGAGTCCTGCCCGATGTGCCTCTGCCCGGAGTCCTGCCCGATGTGCCTCTGCCCGGTGTGCCTCTGCCCGGAGTCCTGCCCGATGTGCCTCTGCCCGATGTGCCTCTGCCCGGAGTCCTGCCCGATGTGCCTCTGCCCGGTGTGCCTCTGCTCGATGTGCCTCTGCCCGGAGTCCAGCCCGGTGTGCCGCTGCCCGGAGTCCTGCCCGGTGTGCCAGTCTTTGATATCCCGCCAGTTGCCAGACCCGGGCGGTGGAATATTTTGCCCAGCTAGGACTGTTTGGAGCGTCCTGAGGCCGCTCCTTGAGGGGGGGGGTACTGTTAGGAATGGACTGGCCAGCAATGGTGGGACTCACCTGCCTTTTGATCTGCAGTACCAGGGCTGGCCAGCGGGTGCTCCCAGCAATCAGAGACTCAACCTTTCAGCCAGCTAACACCTGGAACTGATGATACTGGTGTATTTAAGGGATGGCCAGACTTGCAGACTCTGCCTTGGTGTTGTGTTTGTCCTGGGCCCTGTATCTGTCCTGCATCCTGTTTCTGTTCCTTTGCTGACTTCTCCTGCTCTGATCCTGGCTTGTGACCATCCCTCTGGACCATCCCCTGTCTGCCTGACCCTCTGTACTATGCTGCTTGCTACCTGCTGAACCTGGCCTGTGACCCCGACCATTCTCCGCTTGCTCCCCTTGTACCTACCTGCCCAATTGATATTGACCCGGCCTGCCTGACGACGCTTGCTTGTATGTACTGTTATCTGTGGGTGGTTTGGTTTGGTTTGTTTGCTCTGTATTATGTTTTAGTATTGCACTGCGTTTATGTTTGTACTGTTAGTGTTAATAAATTATATTGTTTATAACATACTGAGGTCTGCGTTTCCCTGCTTCAGTCACACACCTCTGGTCATACCTGGGAGCCCTGACAATCTCCCTCGATCTGGGGCTCCACGCAAGATCTCACCCCGTGGGGTCAAAATGATCACAAGAATGGTGAGCAAAAATCCCAGCACCACACGGGGGGACCTAGTGAATGACCTGCAGAGATCTGGGACCAACGTAACAAAGGCTACCATCAGTAACACACTACGCCGCCAGGGACTCAGATCCTGCAGTGCCAGACGTGCCCCCCTGCTTTAGCCAGTACATGTCCGGGCCCGTCTGAAGTTTGCTAGAGAGCATTTGGATGATCCAGAAGAGGATTGGGAGAATGTCATATGGTCAGATGAAACCAAAACAGAACTGTTTGGTAGAAACACAACTCGTCGTGGTTGGAGGAGAGAGAATGCTGAGTTGCATCCAAAGAACCATACCTACTGTGAAGCATGGGGGTGGCAACATCATGCTTTGGGGCTGTTTCTCCGCAAAGGGACCAGGATGACTGATCCATGTACAGGACAGAATGAATGGGGCCATGTATCGTGAGATTTTGAGTGCAAACCTCCTTCCATCAGCAAGGGCATTGAAGATGAAACGTGGCTGGGTCTTCCAACATGACAATGATCCCAAACATACCGCCCGGGCAACAAGGAGTGGCTTCGTAAGAAGCATTTCAAGGTCCTGGAGTGGCCTAGCCAGTCTCCAGATCTCAACCCCATAGAAAACCTTTGGAGGGTTGAAAGTCCGTGTTGCCCAGCGACAGCCCCAAAACATCACTGCTCTAGAGGAGATCTGCATGGAGGAATGGGCCAACATACCAGCAACAGTGTGTGCCAACCTTGTGAAGACTTACAGGAACCATTTGACCTCTGTCATTGCCAACAAAGGATATATAACAAAGTATTGAGATGAACTTTTGATATTGACCAAATAATTATTTTCCACCATAATTTGCAAATAAATTCTTTCCAAATCAGCCAATGTGATTGTCTGGATTTTTTTTCTCATTTTGTCTCTCATAGTTGAGGTCTACCTATGATGCCAATTACAGGTCTCTCTCATCTTTTTAAGTGGGAGAACTTGCACAATTGGTGGCTGACTAAATACTTTTTTGCCCCACTGTGTATGTATGTATATGTATATACCGTATATATATTCAATATCTGTATTTTTACCTTTATGTCATGTCCTATCGACACTCTGTTCATCTAATTGGCTGTATCCTGATGATAATTTATCTATTGGTAGTATGTCATGAACAGTTGTTTCCATTATATAGTATTGTATTTACAATGGCTTCAATAAACTGTTTTTTTTCCAACATAAACAATAAATCTCCAACTGACACAAAAAGAAAACAAAACAGAGAGTGCAATCTATGTATCGAAAGAAATATTTTAATAAACACCATAAAAGTAAAATGCCATAACTGGATGATCTCCACTCTGTTCAGCCTGGGAAGCCTGAAAGGGCAGAGCTGTCAGCTGTTAGAGGATTCACAATAAAGTAAACCAAGGTGCCACATCCCTAATATGTAAGATACAATAAAAAAATTCCAACAGTTTGGATTTTTTTAGGCACCAAAATGAAAACAAAGTTATAAAACACATACATTTTATTGAACATTTCATAAAACATTGATAAAGTCACAAGGCGGATTAGATAGTTGTACAATATTGTCTATAGAAGCAGCTATCAGCACACTTTTCACAAAGTATTTAATACTTTCTTTACAACAGACTTTGACCGACATGTTTTATTTTTAAAAGAATCTACATCAGAGAAAGATGGGTGACAGTTCTGTAATATAAATGCATATATCAAGAAACTGCACAGCAAGTGCTTGACATTAAATGAACATGCAACAGTGACATACATTGCCAACTTACAGGATACAAATGATCAGTCAGAAATGAAAAAAAATGCTATGTCCATAAGCTGTTGGTGACCCCATAATGGACAGACACAAGGAGCACCAGGAATTCCTCCTTAACATACAAAAAGATATACGTAAATACATATTTATAAAATTATCAGGTTAGTAGGTAAATGTTGATATGATCCTAATATAAAAATGATATGATCCTATGATATGATCCTAATATAAAAATGCTGAGGGTCTTACCCAAATGGAGGGGAGATTAATAAAAGGAAAGACTGGAACTGTCCCCGGTATATCAGTTCATATATCAGCCAAATATCACATTTGGTGATATTAGGTCTACAAGGAGCAGGCACTCACAGCAAAGTAGAAACTGCAATTAAAGATAAAAGGAACCAGCAGGATCTTACCTAATAAATCAATAGTCTATCATACTAATGATAACCACAGTCACTAGGAGAAACAAATGATGGCAGCAGGAGCAGCCTAGCCTTACCACTAAAGAGTATATATAGCTTTGCCCCAGGGGTGGGAGAAAGCATCATGTAAGTGTCTCCACCAATGAGGATCCTCATTGCCGATGCCTCTGCGATTAGTAAAAATGCCGACACATGATGTTCCCAAACGGCCATAACTTGAATTGCTGGGAGGTGGTAGCCAAATGGGTAGCCAAAGTGTCCCCCACCACAACCCTTCGGATGGTTCACCTGTCACAAAGGAAGGAGCGAACCCCATACTACCCTTACAATCCATGTAGGGGAGAAAATGGGGACTACATATGCCAGTTGCTACCCTCAATACTGCCACCCAGAGGGGCACTGAGAGCTGCAGGACAATCGCTTATTAATACCGAAATGTACACAGAAAACAATTGCAGAATCAATATTTAAACATAATGCATAACGGAGATAGTGTACACACAGGCATAAAAGAAATAAAAACAAGACATCATAACGAAACCAGCCATTACTGGGTAAAAATTTGGCTTTCCTATATACCGTTGATGTCTGCCTACCACAGCAGCTTCCACTAACAGCTGAATCAGATCTGCCCTTTCAGACTTCCCAGGCTGGACAGAGGGGGGATTATCCAGTTATGGCTGTATAATGTACAGTTCCTTGCTTCATGTGAGTGGCCAGTTGTCTTGTAAGGTGTTTAATAAAATATTTCTTACTATACTTAGATTGCACCCTCTCTTTTTGTTTTTTTTCTTTTTATGTCAGTTGGCGATTTCCCAAGCTCTTTGACTATGCTCTCTTTTGATATTTGTGACATCTTCCCATGAAACATAACTTGCCAGGTATGCCAGTGTGACCAAATTAACAATACTGCAAATGTGAGTGTACAATTGAGATCCAGGGGTTCCTTGGGTGCCTAGAAATGAATTTTGTGCTTACCAAAGGTGCTTGCAGATAATGCAAGGTGCCTGCGTTTGGACTACATTGTTAGCTTGGACACATTGGTCCTACAGATTTTCTGTCTATTGTTACCTCATGGACCTTGTAT